ACTGTCTGATGCTATCAAAAACACGTAGTATAACTGTCTGATGCTATCAAAAACACGTAGTATAACTGTCTGATGCTATCAAAAACACGTAGTATAACTATCTGATGCTATCAAAAACACGTAGTATAACTGGTCTTATACTAGCAAAAAACAACAGCTAGGTATAGCATAGCGCAACAGCAGGTGTTAATTAACATAATAGTAAAACTACTGGATATTTTCGATACCTAGATCAGCTGCCTTATAACATTTTATGGTGTATTTGATTGTAGTATGAACAAAGCTAACTCTATCTGATGGTAGCACAATAATGGTTAGCGTACATGATGGTAGCACAAACATAGCTAGTTACAGATTGTACCACACACATTACAAGATGGCTAGTTATATATTGTAGAACACAAACTGCTAGCTATATATGAAGGTAGCACAAATATGTTTGGCTGTATTTGAGGGTAGCGGGAAAATGGCTAGTTATATATGGTAGCACACCATTTGCTAGCAGTATATGAAGGTAGCACACAACTGGCTAACTGCATTTAAAGGTAGCAGGGAAAATAGCTAGTTATATCTGGTGTTAACACAAAAATGTCTACTTATATATATAGTAGCACTCAAAGAGCTGGCTGTTAATGAAGGCAGGACAACAATGGTTAACTGTATCCGACTGTATAAAAAGAATAACCATGAGTGAATGTGATGGTAACATTAAAATATCTTGCCGCACCAGAAAGCACTATAGCAGCACCAGAGAACACTACCATCAAACACGAGTATTTAAATTCGGCTCATTAGAATGTCCTTGAGCGTACTCAGCATTGATGAATACCTGGCTCGAATTGGATAAGGAAAGTAAAGAACAGCCTAGCAAAGTCTCTTTATGAATTCAAATAAATACATCATTCGTTCTAGAGTCTATCATGTATAAAAAGGCACTAAGCACTAAGCACTTTATCAGCATTCCTGTTATGATTGCGGCAGTTTATTGCTTTTGTGCTAGCGCCATAAGAATGGCATACAATTAGCACTAGAAAAGGTGTCTACGTATGGTTATGACGTGTAGACAGGTAAGTGGGTCTAGTTGTGGTTTAAAACAGGTAACATTGACGTGGTAGTAGCACAACATGCTGGTGAAAATGGTACACGCACAACATCATCTAGTGAACTTGGTAAATGCATAGGAGGTACCCGTGGTTGGATCGGTTAAGCTCATGGCTGCTGAACCGGAAAGTCCCGAGTTCGAACCCCCGGGTAGATAAAACTCGATAGCTGGAGAGAGACAACATCAAACAACTGCTGCCTCGTAGACAAAGGCTATGGAGAGAGAAATGCATGCTGAAATCCAAGTCAACGGCCTATATGGCGCATAACAAGTTGACACGTAATACTTAACAGTGTTATAGGAAATCCCTTCCAACGCTAGAATTGAGAACGAAGAAGAAGAAGGCAGTAGCATCGCCAAAGCTGGCTAACTACACCCAACAACACGACAGGTGAATTTGTAATTATTTAAATACTTTAACTAAACAACACCTTCGATATTATTTAATTTATTTTCAACATTCCAAAAGTATCAATTATTGCTATTGAAGTACATACATAAGAAATAACTATTTAAAGTTCTTCAATAAACATATTTAGTACTTTAAGACTTGTCATGTCAATTATCCACAGACATATAACAAGGAAATTCCCGGAAATATAAATATAACACAAGGAAGTATCCCGCAAAATAATCACTGGATAGTTCAAAATAACACCAAGTATTATAGTCACGGAACAGCAAGACAGACTTTAAAATGTTGGACCCAACTACAACGGATACTCCAGTTGACGGCTGTCATTATATTTGGAAACGCCAGCCCGCGTACTATAACAACAAAACCATTAAGTCCTGTCATGAATATTATCTCCTAAAATTAATTCTTCCTGTCTAAAAAAAATCGACAACAAAGTTGATTACAATATAGCACCATCTGCCGCCTCACGTCAAAAATAATAAAAAGAAAACACCACATTCAGTATTCCGTTTTTATAAAGAAATGTATTAATACGCCGATGTAACGCTGAACAAAATAATTCCTGTTGTAAAAAAAAAAAGTTTTGTGTCTACGGATAACAACTTAACAACTTAATTATAAAATTAGATTGGATTCTTTCTTACCACAACATACACCCAACCCCCCATCCACCCTAAACCCCCACCCTAACTTAGTTTCCATCCCCCACCTTCCCCCCCCCCCACCCCTCGTCATCCGCGCCACGTATAGCAGACAACACATGCGCCGAAGGTGTTATTTTCTCGTGCGGGGAAGGGATGCAACTCACGACACTCACTCCGCCTAATCTTGTTAGTACATGGAAAAATGGGAGATAACACTGTATGCACGTTATAAAAGGGGGATAATCATGACAGCCGGTACTTAAATAGAGGAACAGATAATACCATTGAAATAGAAAATCTTGTAGGAAAAGTGGCGAATGTTAAACAAATCGTGTTTGGAGATTAAAGCATTACTTACTAGATCTAGATCCAGGTACGCATACGCCGTTAATAAATTATTAAGTAGACTATGTTGATTAAATAAGTAGTATATAATCAAAACTTGCTTATACATCAGAAAATAAACTTGAAAATAAAACCGTACAAACACAATTCTATTTTTAACTAAATTACTTGTGATATTTTTCTTCATACATTGCAGTTCTTTTTATTCGCTCTTAATTTATTTTTTTTTAGTGTTGGAAGTGATCGAGCTTTTTCTGCCAGAGTGTTTGAATTCAACAACTAGACTTTTCAGTTTAGCAACCATGAGCTTTACCGACTCGACCACGCCGACCCCCTACATTGCAGTTATTTATTTATTTTTTAACTTTCTTTAACAAATGTTGTCGAAATGTAAGCATTGATATTTTAACAGGAGGTTTTATTAAAACGAGATAATTTCTTTTTATTACTTGACACTACAAAGTTGAAAAGAGCGTTAGAAGACAGCTGAGAGTGGATAGCTTTGCCACGGGTGTTACGCATGATTAAGGAAGGAAAATGAAACATGATTTGATGACTTAATATGACTTGAACAATTAAAATATATCCCGTCTAAGTATATCAAAGTTCTAGCATTTATCATTCACAAAAATATAAACCTTTAATTCGGCATTCCTGGTAATACCCGATTGGTCTATCTATATATGTAAAAAACAATTCTAAATACCAAGTGTAAGAGGCAGTGGGGAATAATAATATTGTTACTAAAACAACTCAACATAGATGATTGTTTTTTCTGAGGTCATTGAGCGAGTGATGATTTTCTACATCCGCCTATGTAGCAACTTTTTTTTTTATTCATTTAGACAAACAGCGGTCTAAGCCATGGTATGCTATAAATAGACACGTGTAGTACAGTCAGTGTTATAGCACATCTTTGCTACACTCAATCGTCTGCTGGAATTGTAGAATTTCAGGGCACGTACATAATACATAACCAGTGACGTTTTTTTAATACTTAATTAAATTAACCTAACATCTAATTAATCATAAAATACATCAGGCGTTTCGTGTTAGTACTGTTCAAACTACAAGAGGTAGATGTATAATCTTAAGAAATCTCTCGAGTGTACCATACCCACTCCACCCTTCCCCCACTATCATCATGATCTTGCTAATCGATCTTGTCCAAGCAACCCCATACAGAAACTGACGGAAAAATAGATTTATTCAAGTGATCGGTAACAGAAACTGACGAAAAATAGATTTATTCAAGTGATCGGCAAAAGAAACTGACGGAAAAATAGATTTATTCAAGAGATAGGTAACAAAAAATGACGTCAAAAATATATCTTGTCTAAGTAATCGGCCACAGAAACTGACAGCTATGTCGATAGAATATTGTGGGACGCGAGTTCGGAGGGCAAACGACTGAAAAAAACGCCCGAGATCCGACCCAGCGAGCACTGGAGAGTCGTTGTCTGAGGGCAGTGTTATCTTTCAGTACAGCAAACACAACATAAAGCAAATCTTCTTCATCCCTCCAATTTTAACCGGAAAAATCCTGTCAACAAACCAAGTAGCTACTGTCTTTTTTTTTTTTTTTTTTTTTAGCTAGTATCTATTTTTTTTTTTTTTGTAATTTTTCTCTTTTATTTATTCGAATAGGACAGATGGATTAGACCTACAAGTACAGACACATCCATTTCATTCACTCACACCACCTATCCCAGAAAATACACAGCATGGCTTAACACACATCAATCAAGTGCACCAGGGCTTATACACAAAACAAAGAAATATATTGAGGCAACATAGCATTCAAATACCCATATGAACCCTCCCCATTTAATATCAGATCAAGGTATTTAATCTAAAACTTATTTAATAGAGTATTTCTGAACCTAAACAGACAAATGCCTAACACCCTTGTGGTTCCATATTAAAGTGTCAAAGTCACCACACACCAAAAGCCCAGGGACTCAAAATAACATTTTGGGCCCCCAAATTAGATTAGGTATTTTTTCTAAAAATTATTCTTTCTTGCATAGTTCCAATGTAAGCTCAAAATGTAACAAAGTTGGTCATCTGCATACTATCTCACCATTCAAATGTGTACATGAACTCTTAATTGAATTAAAACTTTCAATGTTGTCACTAAAACACAATATGGTAACATTCATACTAAGAATGATCAAATACATATCAATGTACCTAAAAAGTTTAGCCTGACTATGATCTAGTTACACTAACAGTGACTAGTTAATTCTCTACAACCCAGAAGGGTAAGGTTTCACCAGCTGATTAGGAGGCTGAAGCAAAAGTCATAAAAACAAATCACAGGGAGAGTCAAACCTTAAAACATGGTTGTTGAAACTAAAGAAAATAAGATTAACTAATTATGCTCCCTGCAAGTTTAATAGCTTTCTTATTAAAACAAAAGTCATGTTTAGATGAAAAGAAAGGTTATGGTACAATAAAATGATGGCATGGTTAAAAAAAAAAATTGCCAAAAATATGATAATCTTTTACTATGCATCATTGTCAAAAAAGTCACTCCTTTGATGCACCAATGACAAAATAATTTGTCAGCATAGATTGTTTTTATTTTTAGAAGTTATTTGAACAGTTGTGTGTGTAGGTCTCATATTGTCCAATCTGTGTCCACATGTTGATTCTCCGTCTTTTGCTGTTTTTACCCCACACACATTTCTTCTCCCATGGCTTTCATGACAGTTATCATAAATGGTTCATCTTTTTCATCTTTTTCATCTTTTTCTCTGCCAACATCAGTATCAGACAGTTTCAAATCTTCTCGTGTTTCACCACTATCGTCCATTAAGGAAAGGTATTTATCATCAATACTCACAAGCTGGTAATCTTGACGGTTGACCACTGGAACTGACATATTGTGAGTAGATGGACATATATCTTCGTATTTTTTCCCAGTGAACAAATCTATTCCAACAAGATGTACCTTTGCATGGCCGTGCTTTCCGGTTTTAGAAGTAGACATTTCAACTATTTTGCAAGGACGTCCTTTGAGAACAACATGACCATTTTTTCTTAGAGCGCTGCATTGCATGGGGAAGGTTTGGGATGCACCAGCATCTGCACCCTCAAAAGTTTCTTCATGATCAACCTCAGCCATTTGTTACACTAGAATTGATATTCAAAATTGTTTTAGATTCTAATAGAAATAAAATAATGTCAACAGTAAAATGAAGAGAAATTCGTAACTAGTATCTATTTATTTTTTTGTAACTAGTATCTATAAAGCTTCTAGGTATGTCGTTTTATTGATAATTACGTACAAGTTTGAATACATCGTTTCTTTCTAACAAGTGTCCTTTTAATAATATGAGGGATGCGTAAATTGGGATTTAAGCTGTTCCTTAAATCTTCTTGCCTTTCAAATATCAGATCTAAAATATAATTAACACTTTAATTCAATCAATTTAAAGGGTTACATATATATTTAGAAAAAATATAAATAAGAAGTCAAATAAAATTAAATTAGACACAAAAAATAGCTATGGCTAATTCCAACACAATTACCTCCCATTTTAAAATCATATTTTTAATTAGGGGAAACAACAAATATTAAACTAACAAAATAGCAACAAAAAGAGTTAAGTAAAGCATAAGTATCAAAGTATATCGAAATGAGTTGTAATTAACAGCAACGAATATAACTATATAACATATATATAACAATTTATGCTTGCAATAAACCTATTAAAACTCGCCAATTTATTAAGCATTAAAAAGAATAAAAACAAAACCTTTAACAATCTTTATAGCTAAAATGTATAATTTATATATGTTAGCCTAATAGTCACTTTAGTATATAAATTTTAGTCCAAATTTTGGATCCCGTAATGAGGGACATATAAAACTTAATGTACTGATATTTCATTCAGGTCAGGGGTCGACAACCCTTTAAGATGGAAGAGCCAAACGTTACAATTTTCAAAATTTCCCAGTTTCTTTAAAGAGCCACAAAAAAATTTATTTCAATATTTGGTATTAGACTAGGATTAGGTAAATACATTTTATTTTTTATTTAAATAAATACCCTCTTTAATGTGAAATAATATTTATTCATATAAAGACATACACATCTTTCGTCAGAATAATAAACTTATAAATCAAGTAATATAACTAAAGGACTATCCAAATCCACTTTAGCAGCTGTTTTTTTTACAAGCTTTTTTTTTTAATTTTTTTTTCTTTACGGATATCACCGACTCAGGAGGTGTCTCCCATTAGCCTGTCAGGCCTCAACACGGCAAACTCCAACTGGCTTGAGTATCGGTTTGAATATAGTGTATCGGTCACTTCTGTCCTTTGGCTTTTCTTCCACCCCACTTAACGCAGTGTAAACTTGTACATTGGTACTATCGAATTCACAAATTATTAATTACTGAAAAGTAGAAAGTAAAACAACTAAATAGCGGCATATGATACGCCGCGGGTCGGCTCGTATATATATAATTCTCTTCTTGGAGACGATAGAAAACACAAAGCTGTAAGCGCGCTCCCCACCACCCCCACCCCTACATGGTCTGGTGAGCTGTGGTTCACGCTAAATGGTTACAATCTTAGAGCCGGGTTCAGTGACGGCTATTAGGGGCAGATAATTTAGTTTGAAACGATTTTAAACTTAGGGGAGGTAACTAAGAGGAGTTTACTTTCACGGGGGGGGGGGGGGGGGGGAAGGGGTTGGGTAAAGGAGTTGGGTTATCGTCCTTAACGAGCTACTGATAGTGTTTTAAAGCAAATATTTTCATTGGCAGCGTTGGTACTGTCGAATTCACAAATTATGAATTACTGAAAAGTAGAAAATAAAACAACTAAATAGCGGCGTATGATAAGCCGCGGGTCGTCTCGTTTTAACTATTACCGACATTACTGTAAAGAAAACAACTTAAGAAAGATCTTCTCCAACCATTGGTTGCTCTAAGAATACGTTCTGTTGTAAATAAATGAGAACTTGGAATTCGTTACTTTACCAGACCATAAAGAAAAAGACGCCGGTAACTGGTTTAAAGACGCCGGCAAGGGAAGTAACCAAACTTGTTACGTCCAATTAGTTACCGTTCCTGAAGCCGGTTTGATACTGTCCAAAACGAGGGGCATCGAAGAATTTTAATAATCAATTAGCTCCCCTTTTGCAGAAAGTAGCGCTTACATGTAATAGATTTAGAAGACAAACACATAAAGAAAACAAAGAAGAAACAAGTAAATACATTCAAACAAGTATAATTGTGTTACAACTGATGTTTTAATACAAGTTCTAATAAAATAAAAATCATCCCTTAACACTTGTTGGGGTGTTTGTGGCACATCAGAGTAGTGTGACTTGGGCTAAGAGTCGCATGACGGCGCCCACCCCTACCCATGCCTGACCACCAGTATCGAGCGAGGGGGGCGGGGAGGGGGACATATGTCCCCGGGCGCCGACCTTAGGGGGCGACAAAATGGGTTGGAAAAATAAAAATGAAAGCTTGAGGTGGGGGGGGGGTGCAAATCGAAAGTTTGAGGGGCGTGCAAATCAAAATCTTGAGGAAGGGGGGGGGGGGGGGCAAATCGAAAGTTTGAGGGGCGTGCAAATCGAAATCTTGAGGGGGGGGGGGTGCAAATCGAAAGTTTGTCCCCGGGCGCCGGGAAGGGTCGCTACGCCTCTGCTGACCACAACCGGATGCCTCCATCTAGGTGGCTCGCCTTGGTCATGAACATAAGGCCGTGGAAGTTCATCTAGGAACTTTTGAACCCTGGCCGGTGACCTTTACTGGAAGGTCATATGCCCAGTGATGACGTGTTAGCATAAGTTGTTTGCTGTCCCCAGCTATCGAGCCTCATTTGCTCGGGGGTTCGAGCTCGGGACTTTTCTTTTAGCAAGTTAGAATAGCTTAAAAATGTCCAGAGTTCATATTTAAAAACTTTCTAAGATACGATTAAAAGGTGGACTTGTGGACCTTCTCTATGACGTCACGCTGGACCTAAACTTCAACGTCAATGTGGGTCGTCGTTATAGCGTTAAAGTTGACAGTAGCTATGACTTGAACCGTCACCATGACGTCATAGATTACCTTCGCTTTGATGACAGGTGTCTATAACTAGGCGGAACATTGTGCATGCTTGTTGTTTAAGTAATAAAAGAAATAAATTCTGTTTTGTGCAACTATGGTCGGCATTTGACCGTATTGAATCTATTCTGAACTTATATATCTACCCTAACCCTGGCTAAACCTAAGCTCTTAACATAATACTGTCCATGGCTATATCTTTAGCCTTAGTTCTAATTATGTTCCTAATCTTAATCTAGCCCTAATCCAGTTCCTATTTATAATCTAAAAGCTAGCTATTTCACATCCATTAATAAAATCACCAATTCGATTCTAAATCTCATTACAGCGAGAGAATAAATGCACATTCTATAACTAGACTTCAATTACCCAAGACACGTAACAGGAAAATCCGATCAACAATCAAGATAATTATCCAATTAGTATAAAAATCCCAAGCAAGTCTAGAATTTTCACCTGTTCACACAATAAACCTTGTCAGACGAGAATGTTCGAATGTCAGAATTCCAAAACATTCACATCACAGTAGCTACGGCTTTGCCGGCTCATTGGAATAAAGAGCTAAGGTTAGACAACTCTGGTTTGAAATACGCTCTACGCAACATGAAAAAGGCGACTACATTTAACGTTTCTCGTTAGTTCGCTGTGAGAAATAGGTTGGGGGGGGGGTTGTGGGAGGGTTTTATCACCTGTGGATTCCAGAACACCCCGGGGAGTAGCTTGGAACAATGGAGGTAAACAGAGAACAGATGAGGTGTTTTATGGGCTTTGATGCTCAGGTAAATACAAGGTCGTGGATGGGTTTTTGTGTTTGTAGGGAGAATTGTTTTTTTTTTAGATGGGAGCACGGGTTTCACGCACGTTGTTTTTATGTATATGGGTCATTCATAAATGACGTCACGCTTTTTTTGAACGATTTTTACTTCCCCCCTCCCCTCCGTTACACGTCGTCACAAAAAGCCAGACCACCCCACCTCTAAATGACACCTCAGCCTACAACCCCCCCCCCCCCCCCTCAAAATTGCTATTGAATTTTTCTTAAAATATCGATATTTTTCCAAAATCTTGTAAGAACTATGTCAACATAGAGTATTTTGATCAATTCCTATTACAATTTATTAAAACCGTTTCCTAAAACGCAAAATGACGGCTAAAACTCGTTTTCTACCATTGCTTTTTATTATGCAAAAGTGTGACGTCACACCATCTGAACCCCACCCCCTCCCCCTCATCACACACCGTCACAAAATTACGGACCCCCCTCCCCCATACGAGTGGGACGCCATTTATGGACGACCCCATAACACATGTAGTGTTATGGTGTGGACGGATGGTAGAAAGAAGTTAAGTACCATTTGCATCCACCAGACAGATGATGTTGAGTTCACCTATTTTATTAACTTCGGCATAGAAAGGTTTAAGATGGTCAGCACTATGCACAGCCGTCTTTACTTTCCTTAACTTGGGTAAGGTACTCATCAGAGCTGGGCGGACTCAGGGACGTTATACGGACTTTGAACCCGGGGATTCGACATTGAGACTTTCGGCTGAGCAGTCGAACGCTCTACCATTCGACCACGCCGTTGGTTGGGTGATCAGTGGCGTAGGCAGGGGGGGGGGGGGGGTTAGTATGAGGGGGGGTGCAAATCGAAAGTTTGAGGGGGGGGGTGCAAATTGAAAGTTTGAGGGGGGGGGGTGCAAATCGAAAGTTTGAGGGGGGGTGCAAATCGAAAGTTTGAGGGGGGGTGAAAATCGAAAGTTTGAGGGGGGGGTGCAAATCGAAAGTTTGTCCCCGGGTAAAAATTGGAACCCCCCCCCCCCCCCCTTGAGATGATCCTGGCTACGCCACTGTGGGTGATAGAGAACTCGACAGTTTAAAAAAAATCAGATCTCGAACTCGAAGTTTGTCGGACGTTCCTAAGTCCACCAAGCTCTGGAGTTTAGGTCTATTTGACTTACGTTAACGTAAAGCCGTTTATGCATAATACTGGTATGCCGTGGTAAAAAAAAAATCATTAATTAATTCATCTATCATATAAATCGTCTAACCCAAAAGGGGAGTAAACCTATAGGACTGCTCTTG